GCCATAATGGCAGCAATGGTACATCATTACTGTTTGATGAGCTCAAAGATTTCTGTTATATGCAAGATGGTTTTCTGCATCAAGACACTTCTTCAAAAATGGCACAATTATGTTTTGTAGGCATTGCGTTCAAGTCATTTAAATATGATTTAGCAGTGCTGCATAATGACACATCTCCTGACCAATCCTTTGGCTTCTGGACAGTTATTTTGATAACTGTGGTAATTCTAGAGCTAATACATGCAACTGAGTCCCGATCAGTGACGGTCGGAACGCTCTTATTAGATCAAAACCAGTCGGTTGCTCACGCGGCTGTTTGACTTGGTGACTCTGAATAAATGGGGGTGGATCTCACGGTCTATGAACCAGCGATGCATCTTGCAAATGTCTGCACCTACCATGGTTGTAATGGGGAATCAGGGTTGGATTCTGGAGATGGAGCCTGAGAGAATAGAGGAATAAGTCTTTTAAATAGCGCTTATAAATTATATAGTAAAATAATCAATAAACGAATAGCAAATATTATGGATACACTGCTGTAAGAAGAACAAAGTGGCTTTAGACACAGTAGATCATGTACTGATGACATATTCACTTTAAAACAAGTAGCTGAAAAGTGCAGAGAATTAAACTTAGAAACATATATTGTATTCACAGACTGTGAAAAAGCATTTGAGTTTACAGACAAAAATTATGGCAGATAATGAGAGAGAGAGGATTCCCCATACATCTAATTCAAGCCAGCCAAAGCCTTTACCAAGGAACAAAAATATTAATAGATCCAAGAAATATTCAATGTAATGAAGTCTTTGCCAACTAAGGTGTGAGACAAGGCTGTGGGTTATCACCAACCGTGTTCAGCATTTACGAGGTGCGATCAGAAAGTTTCAAGACTGCGCCTATAAAAACCCGTACACTTATCTCAGGTATTAAATTCATCCATCACCCTCGAAGTAGTTGCTTAGAAAGGAAGTTTGGGTCGGTTCTTGCAAGATCTTTGAGTTCCTGACAAACGAGAAGTCGATTCTGCTTCTGGTCCTCAGACAGGATGTGTCGCATGTGGAGTTCTTCCTTTAGAATCAGCTGACAGGTCCCATAGCCTATCCCAGCAATGTCGCACAAGTCGTTGATGGTACGACGTCGATCTTCGTGAATGGCCTGCCGAATCTTCGTAACATTTTCGGGCGTTGTGCTCGAAGATGGTCGTCCAGAACGCTCGTCATCATCGACAGAGGTTCGGCCATTTTTAAAACGTGAATGCCACACAAAAGTTTGTGCACGACCCATTGCGGACTCCCCAAATGCTTGCTTTAGCATTTCATAGGTTTCCGTAGCCGTTTTGGCGAGTCTTTGGCAAAATTTGAAAATCCGCCATTCCGAAATCGCAGGAGGGTCGGTGTAATGCACTATCAAAACGCCCGTAACTAAGAAACAAATGCTAATTCGATGATGCCGGCTGGCACACTGATTCACTATGAATGTAGGCCGCACCCCTTAGCGGCAGAACCTCTTACTACGTCCGGTTCGCCCTCTATTGACACAGTCTTGAAACTTTCTGATTGCACCTCGTATACTGATGATATTATCTGAATATGGAAAAAATCAGCAAATCCAGGCATAAAACTTAATGAAAATATCTCAGTAAATACCATGCTTTTTGCAGATGACCAAATAATTTGACAAATGAAAATGAACTCCAAAAATCTACTTTCCAGCTTAACCAAATTTGCAGAGACTACAATATGAAAATTTCAATAGCTAAAACAAAAACTATGGCATTTAAAGGCAAACTTCCAGTTAGGATGAAAATTGTTATAGATAATACATCATAGAATAGGTGCCCCATTTCTCCTACCTTGGTTGTGATATCATCTTTGGTTATGACAATGATTTAGGTAGAAAATTAAATAGATTTTGACACATGTGGAACCTTCAAGAAGACCCTAAAGGGAAAAATGCAGGACACACAACTTAAGTTTTATAAAGTGATGGTCATTCCCACACTGCTCTATGGATCAGAAACATGGACATTAGGATAAAAGAGATACGAGCAGAATCCAAGCAGCAGAAATACAATACTTAAGATCTATTAAAGGATGTACTAGACTAGATAGAATAAGATATGAAGACATTAGGAAAGAACTTATTACTTTTAATGTAATTGACAAAATTGGAGAATATAGAAGAAAATGGAAAGAACATGTGGAATGAATGCCTAAAGATAGATTTTCTAAGTCTGCGCTCAGCTACAAACCTAGCGGGAAGAGAGATCGAGGTCGGCCAAGAAGAAGATGGGAAGATCAATTTGAAGCCGTAACAGGCACTAGTGCCTAATTCCTGATGATGATTTCAGATTTTCAGCTTAAGATCTGATTGGTTGATTTTGGTGACATTTTATGCATGTTATGCTATTAAAGGTAACCCAAAACTTGTACTGTTTAACTTCCTAAAATATTAACATTTTGGTGGATGTTGAAACTAGTGAAATGGGACCAACACTAGCACTGCTCAATGTAGGGCACTGAAATGATGCTAATAAATTTAAAAAAAATACGCAACTTTTTTTAAAGTATGTAAAATTTGAGGTGCTTATGACAGTGAAGATGACAATGTTGTCCTTTTGGGGTCGTGACACCGTGTGGTCTTGTAGATAGACGCCTTTGAGTCAACATGGAATCTCAACAGGAACAGCATTGTTGTTTTGTTAAGGTGATATTTCTGTAGAATATTGTAACCGTCCAGACATTAGAGTCCTGTGGAGTAACGCTGCTAGGGCGAGCTGGCTGAAATTCTTTAAAAACGAAGGATCGTCTGTGTTAAGTGAGGAAGTAGGGGGAGGACTCACATGTGGTCTTTTGAGGAAGTGTGTCTGGGCAGTCGTGGAAAGTTTCTTGACGGTAGAGGTTAAGATTTTTATAAAGTTGTGTATCGAAGAAAATATATAATAAAGATATAATTAGATTAACAGTCAATCATTATCTCTCCGTTACAAATTCGATTCCCCGTAAACGACCCTGAGTCCCTAGCTAGCTGGAGCAAACAAATAACCGAAGAAGGAGGACGGTTATAATATAAAGCAACATGACAGTTTTTCAAATATTGTCTTCGGCTTTGAGTTGTAGCTAGACATGAAATTTTGTACAGAGATAGATTATAAATGCACCTATGAAGTACATGAAATACTATTTTTAGGTCAACAGGTACAGAGTTGGTGACAATACAAAACTTTGAGGTTATATTTGACATAGAGTATGTATATAATAAGTTTTCTGTCCCCTTAAAATTATTAACATTCTCTAACATATTTACAGTTGAAACTGATAATAAAAGCATTTAACCTGAGTTGGTTTTGATCATATGACCATCTGTGCATGAGTCCGGAGCACCAGCTAATGAGCTACATACAATTCATTATAGGTGATGGTACACAGGGGTAGTGATGAATATAACCGACATATGAAACTTTATTCTGTTGGATTGACTATTCACAATTAACTCAATAATGAACCCTTTGGATTTTAATTTCATCTAAATAATGTTTAAAAATTCAGTTCCTGTTGTACAGAAACTAATCCATCAATATTACAAAGTTCTCTTGATCGACGCTGTTTAAAGAAATGATCACTCTGTAAACTAATAATAATTTGAAACCCAAAAAATATACTCTGTTGGCAAAATGGAAAATCACTGATCATTAAAAGGAGGTGGTACACACAATTATCACTCAGCCTTAAAAGACAAGTATTAATTTTGGAAGGTTGTTATCAAGGCAGTGAGTACAAGACTACATTTTAACTAATGTAACTGGAAAGCTATCTGAACATTGTCAGCATAGCATTACAATTACAATTAGAATTTATTTTCATTTCGTAGATCCTTCGTAGCACAATCCAAGGATGTGGAAGATGTCATAGTATGAATATGAACATTTATGGCAATAAAATACCAAAACTAAACGAAGCCAAGGTGGAGAGAACAGATACAGAAACTCTTTGGGCTCTGCGCCTTTCCAGTCTCGTTGTATACGGTTAATAAAAAACTGTCAGGACACAAAGGTCTAACTGTGGAAGATTAGAAAGACCTGATTCCCAGTAAACAGTTTTTAGTAACAGACATCTGTCCAGCCAGTCTTCAGGAAAAAAAATAGTTTTTGAGTTCTGGTTTTGGATTCATGCCCATGTTGAGAATTTCATCAAGAAATGCTTTGAGCTCTATCTCGGGCACAAATTGCTCAGATGTGTCTTTCTTACATTGGCATATGCTTTTAATTTTATCTTTTTGTATCAATCTGTTCCATGAAGAATTTATGGTTGCAAATACTCTGACAAGAATGCCATAAAAATTACGATAAGAAAGAATGTGACTTGGTCACTAGAGGTTTGAAATTCTTTGTGATTTAACATGTTTGGGTTGGAATTGACATGCCTCTTCCAAATAGCATCACCTCTTCCAATTTTCATGATTTTTTGCTTCACTCACATCACCATTAACAAAAGTAAAGCTGTCCCGATTAATGCCATGGAGGTGACTGGGGCAGAGGAAATACAGCTGCTACTCCTCCTTGACTTTAACACTGGATAGGGGTGAGTGGTGAGCATCACTGTCCTTTACCCCGAAAGAAAGTACTTATGGTATTCATTGGTTAGAGGTTCCAGAGCTGGTCTGGACTCAAATGCTAGAAGAAAAATTCTTTGTCCCTGCTGAGGATTGAATCCCAATCATTCAGTCCGCAATCTGACTGAGCTAACCTGGCTCTTCATCACTCTTATTATTAGCATTATATTTATATTAATTTTCTGAGGCAGATATATCATCACCACTCGTCATTTTATCGATCAGCAGTTCTGACTATTGTTTTTCTTTCCAGCATCATTCTTACTACCTTATTAAGTTGGCACTGATTTTTTCTTTAATTTAACTGTTCACATAGCAGAGACATTATTCAGAAGGCAGTACATTTATTTTTAAGTAATGTAATTCAAAATAAAAATATAGTTTTCATAACACAGAAAGATGACAAAGTTTAACTAATTTCTGAAATTTGCTCTAGGACCAAGGAAAACCACGGAAAGTCTTGGTCGAGTTGGCCGGTCGCAGGACCTTCCGGATGCATACTGACTTCTAGCCAGCAGTCCGGTATTTAGAATTGCGAGCCCTAACGGTAGCCTCTCTCTGTGTGCTTCCTTTATTAACAAATTTTATACATTTTTTTGTGCGTAGATGTGTTTTGGATAGGAAACGATCCACCCGGTTCGTTGCCTATCCAATTACAAAAAGGTTTACAAATCCGTTATAACTTATCCAATTTCTTGCTATGGTCGTCTGGTGTCCTTTGGATCACTGCCGATCCAGCGTAGGGGATTGGTATATGTGATCATCTATGGATTGGACCCTCGTGGGAACCCAAAACTGACTGGTAGTGCTCTGCGGTGGGAACTACAGAAGGAAAGCTGATGTTTAGCTGTTATTTGCGGGGGTGATTGAATTTGAAGATTTGCTGTTAGGTTAATGTTTCAGAGCAATGTACTACAGTAAAACCTCTCTAAGTTGGACACTTGGGGTTCCACGAAAATGTGTCCAACTTACAGAGGTGTCCAAGATAGAGGGATTGTGGTCTAATGACAATATAGTCTATTTACTTACATACACTAACTTCTGTAGGCTTACTTAAATTAAGAATTAATGACAATAATATTAATAATAATCTTTTGAAGCCCACTCCCATGCATTGCCCATTACACCCCAGCCTCAATAACATTTTCTAAAGTTAATTCCACTAATTTTCGCTTCCCCATCGCAAAAAGAAAAATTCCTTTTCTGTTAACACAGTCTGAACTCAAATGCAAGAACATTACTGACGAAGTTAAAACTGTGTCTTCTGCAAAACTGTAGTCCAGTTAAGGGTTCAGCAAAAGAATAGTTAAACACGTGCAATGCATTCCAATGCTGGGTTCAATGTCCATAAGACAATCCTCTAGAGAGGAGGCATTCATCAGTCAGAAATTCAAAATAACAAAATATGTAACTGAAAAACTTTCCCTGAAAAGCATCGACGTTAAGTGCATGAACCTGTCCAACTTACAACAAAAGAGGTGTTCAAGTTCCAGGATAAAGGGGTGTCCATGATATAGGATATTGTGGACATGTAAAATTATAGGATATTCGCAGGTTCCAATTAAAAGTGTCCAATATAAAGGGGTGTCCAGGATATAGGGGTGTCCAACTAGAGGGGTTTTACTGTATATAGGCACTCCTGTGACCATTTGTTGAGCAAAAGGATTTGTTAATTCCGCAGGTTAGGTTACTTTGCAAGAAGGGATCGGGGGCGGAGGTATTTATCACAGCTGGCATCGTACTGACCTAGTTCTTGAATTTGGCTGTTGTAGCTGGTGGCCGATTTTGTGTATAGCCTATTCGCTAGTCCTTTAATATAATCTTTAATCAGTGGCATTCCGGTCTGTTCGTGCAGGGTACTAATTGGAGTAACCCTTGGCAATTTTGTTATTATTCTGAGGACTTTGTTCTGAAATGTCTGAAGCTTGTGTAAATAAGTTTTGACAGCGTACCCCCAGGCGATAAATTTGCATCCATTTTAGAGGATGTATTTAGTAAAGGAAATAGCTGCCTTAATCTGAAGTTTGCTGTACGGAGAACGGATGATATGTGGGCCTTGTACGTCAATTTGGAATCTAGAATGACACCTAGTTATTTGGTTTCGGTGGTAAAGGCTACGTTTTTATTAAAAAAATTTACTGTGGGAACAGAGCAGCGATAGTCGCGTAAACGTTTTTGAAAACACCGTCGTGGTGCACTTGTCAATGTTGATCTTAATTCTCCATTTCAGAAACTAGGGTTCGAGAAGGCCTATTGCTTTGTTTAATTTCGCTATTGCTATGTCTAATTTTCCTGAGCAAACACTGATATTTGTGTCATCTGCATAGATTGAGATGGATACGTTGGAATCATTTTCAATGGATGGGATGTCATTTATGTAGAGGTTAAAAAGTGTAGGCTACCCTGGGGAACGCCGGCCCTGATGGGGCGGTAGCTTCACTGAGAGCTCCCATGTGATACAGAAAATGATCGGTTCTAGAGGTAACTGTGAATTACATGGATTAAGTGAGGTGGAATTTTGACTTTAATGAGTTTTGCTATTAGCCCTGTGATCCAAACTTTATCAAATGCTCTTTCTATGTCTAGGAACAATGCCACTGTAGCTTTCTTATTGTTAAATCCGTGAGTGATCCGTTCTATGTTTCTTAATAGCGTGTGCGTTGTGGAATGTCCTTGTTTAAAACCATACTTGTCATTTCTGATAATGTGGAGCTCCTTAAGTTGGAAATTTAGCCTATTCACTTATTGGCCTATAATTTAATGGGGAGGCATGGTCCTTTTTTGGTTTCGGGAGCATGATAATTTTAGCGTTTTTTCCATACGGTAGGATAATAGTTTAAAGCTAATGACTTGTTAGATATTTTTGCAATAAATCTGAGGGCTGGCCGTGGTAAGTGTTTAAGTACTATGTTCTGAATCCCATCAGGGCCAGGAGCCTTGCGTGGTTTGAGGTGGCGGATAATCCATTCGACTTCGCAATGGTTTGTAAGCCTTATGGAGGCCTGCGGAGGTTGCATCAAGAAGTCAGCTACTACTTGCTCTGTGCTAACGGTAAAGTTGGTGTCCACATCTGGGTTTGTTTGGAGTATTTCTTCTAAAGTATCAGCAAATATATTCACCTTGTCTTGATTTGTAATTGCAATGTTGCCATCGTGTTTCAGAGGTGGGATTTTATTGCCCGTGTATTATTGTTAGGCTTTTTGTTATCCTCCACGTGTCTTTTGTGTTGGAAGTGTCTAGGCCTTGGAGTGTTTGCTGCCAGGTGTTCGAAATTTGATCTTTAATGGCTGAGTCTATTTTCTGTTTCAAGGCGTTAATGAGAGGACGAAGCCTAATGTCGTGAGTTCTTTGCCACTGATTTCTCAGTTTGTTTCTTTCTTGAATGAGAAGACGGTTGGATGCTGCAATTTGCATTGACCTGAAAGTTCTCCTTCTGAGCGGAATAGAATGGTGCATGGCCTTATTCAGAACGTCTGTAAGGTGGTCAACAGCTGTATCGATCTCACTGCTACAGCAGTTCCCATCTACGCACTGTGTGTTTAAGTTTTCAGAAATGTAATTTTGAAAAAAGATTACAATTGGCTTCGGTGTAGACGAATGTATGTTTCAATTCGTCTGGTTGTAGTGGACCACGTATGTTGAGAAGAACTGGGTTGTGGTCGGATGTCGAGAGACTGCCTTGTGAACGTATTGAATAGCTGGAAAGCATGTTACTGATAATGGCAAAATCAAGTATATCAGCTTCACCAGAATTACAGTCTGGGAAGTGTGTGGGGTGAGATGGAGCCGATATTATGTAATTACTTTTGTAGTAGTGTTTTAGAAGTGTCTGCCCAGCTACATTGTTCTGCCGAGCGTTTCAAGTTACATGTTTGGCGTTGAAGTCGCCTGCTAGAATTACTTTGTTTCCGGTTGCCAAAAGATATGATCCAGGTAACTCTCTATAATTCTGCCCGGGGGGGGGGGGTTGTAGATAGAGATTAGTATTATTGTTTCTTCGTTGATGTTCACTTGGATAGCTGTCGCTTCCATATGTTGGAGTGGGGGAAGGGGGATTTCCGAATGTTTGAAACCCCGTCGGATTAGAATGGCCGTTCCGCCACCTCTCTGATTTAGCCTGTCACACCGGAAAGTCGTGTAGTTTGGACACTTATATTTTGTGGCAGATTCCAAATGAGTTTCATTAATGAGTGCTATG